GGGTCTAGAGCAGTAACTTCTAGATACTTATTCTACTTTTGAAATGTTAAATAGTCACACTTGACTCCAAGTCCAGGCTCCTCCTGACGTAGATTTACTGGACAAGAACAAAGATCCACTCTTGCATTTAAACCTTTGATGTAATAAAGAAGCAAAAATATACCAAGGTTGATTTCATATGTGAATAAGCCATCACAGATTCTGTACAAATACATATACTTATGTGAAATATAAATATGTATTTTTGGACAAAAAGGAGGGATTTTTTTCCTTCTAGAGAAGGAAGAGGTCATTCACTTCATTTTCGGAAGTCTTTGGGTATTTCATATTTAAATATTCTTTTTTGTTCTTCTAAAAAAGGAGCAGCTTGTGCAGCAGCTAATCTGTGAGTGCATCTTGTACTTAGTTGAAAGAGTGGTACATGGAACCAACAGTTTTGAGTCCAGTGATGAAACTCTATTCCCCTCTGAGGATGAGTAGCTACTGAACTATACTTTTTTTTCACTCTTCTGTAGAATCATATATAGCAGTGAGACTTTGTATTCCCAGTGGCAAAGGCTTGAAGAAAGGTGCACAACTAGTTTTTCAGTTCAGAAGGCATGATGGACCCTCTTTTACAATCTACATTTAACTTTGGATATGGAGGTATAAAGAAAACAAAGAGAAAATTTCCATATATAAAAGTTTCTTCTCCTAAGAAAAAGAAGTAAAAATATTTTTTACAGTACCGTCTGACTCTTTGGCAGTTTACATTGTATAATTCAATTTTGTTTTTTTTTTTTTGTACTGGGAATTGAACTCAGGACTTTGCACTTGCCAGGCAGGCACTTATACCACTGAGTTATATCCCCAGCCCAACTCAGTTTTTTATAAAAGTACAAATAAATTTTCTTTCCACCAAAAAAAGTTTCCTCTTTTAAAGACTCCTCTAACTTGATTGTATTCATTAGAATAATCCAAAATACTCTCTACATTCCAGGGAATTAAATCCTAAAATTTAATCACATCTGTGAAGTCCCTTTTGTTATATAAGATAGCATATTCACAGAGTCTGGGATTAGGATGTGAACATTCAGGGGTGCATTAGTCTTCCTATCACAGTGGTCCAGCTCAAGGAGCCCTCACTACCCAGGAAGCCTCCTCTCCACTCTCCCAAGCTCTCCCTGCCCTTAATCAAGGTTTCACACAGGTTTCTGCAGTCTTTCCCCAGGAAGCTCTTACTACCCTGAAATATAATTGCTCATTGATTTGCATTTAGTACCTGCAATAAACTTTAAGTTCCATGAAAACGGGCACAGGAATTGTCCTTTTTATTGGCATAAACTCAGCTTCTAGGATAGTGCTCAAAAAAATAGTTTAGGGAGAGAAACTTTCTATGATACATGACTTTCATTACTGAATTACATTCTGGCCATATGACTGCTCCTTAAATTTGGAACCTATGAATCCACCCTTCAGGGAGCTCAACTATCAAAACTGAAGGGGATCTTAGAATCCAGCCAGCTTACTTTATGCGAAGAAAGCTGAGGCCCAGAGGGCAGAGCTATCTTTTCCAGGGTAACACAGCCACTTCAATGTAGGGCCAAGATCAAAGCCTAGGTGTCCTCACACCAAGTCTGGTGTGCTCAGACACCTCCTTTTTCCTTCACAGTTGGCAAAGCATTCACGCCTGCCTTTCAGCAGCCTGAGACCTGCTATCCCCACTCCTGCAGGCTGGTCTTGAGTATCTTACCCTGACTTGCCAGGTCTAGATCCAGCACATGGCACGGGGGACAAGGTCCTGTTTGCTCCTCTTCAGGTGTGTCTTGGCACTTGTATATCTACATGTACCGGAATGGAAGCAGTGACCCAGAAGCCCTCTACAGCTAGAGACAGGAAGATAGGGTGTGACTAAAACTGTCTGACAAAGGAGGCATGATGAAATCCCGGACACATGTGCAGAACAGTTCCCAAAGCCTTGCACGTGACTTCTCTGAAGACCCTGAGCAGGTTTTCCACAGGATGGTCTACACCTGATATCAGCCTGAGGACGAGGTGATACAACAAGGACAGTCCGCAGTGTGTTTTTGCCACTGTGTTCTCTCTTGCATGGCGGCCCAAACTCATGCTGTACAGTGTATTTCTTTTCTTACTTTTATTTGGCCCAAACTTGCTTTGCAAAACCTGTATCTTTTTCTACCTTTAATAAAACTGCTGCTCTTTGTGCTTGTCTTGACCAACTCTTTGCTCAGGACAGAATGAAATGAGAAACTACATTCAGAAGTAAACTCCAGCATCTGGAAACCCTGTAACACTAAGACACACTGCTGGATCCCTAAAAAACATTTCTCGGCTTTGAATGAGGACCAAAACCCTTAATCTCCTTTTATCATGATTGTTGTTATAAGTTTAGTGTTTATAAAATGCTTCCTGTTTAAGACAGCAAAATGGGTGAAGCCCAGAGCAGCAGTAGCAGCTGGAGACATGCCAGAGGTACTAATGACAGAAAATGCCTTTAGTTTTAAAAGGTTGCTGGGTCAGAGGCCAGAGATATAGCTCAGTGGCAGCATGCCACCCTGCCAAGCATGAGGTCATGAGTTCAATCCTCTAGTACCACAAAAACAAAAATTGCTGGATCACTTTTAAAATTGGGGGCCTTGAGCTGGAATTGCCACATACCCTTAGTGTATGACCAATTTCTAGTTTTATATTTGCTCCACAATGACATGAATAGTGCAAATATATTTTTGGAAAAAGGATATCAACTGCTATAAAATCTGCAAGAGTATACCTCCCTAATTTCAGGTGATTTTACAGTCTGTTGGACTCTTTGTAAAAGAGGCTGTGAAAAATATATGAGAACAAGGATGGTAAGTCAACTCCACCACAAGAAATTGTTCTTTTGTCCGGAAAGCCAGTTGCAGGTGCCATAGACATTTCTTTTAACAGAATTATTCCTTTGTCAGAGTCTGCCCCTGTTGTGCCAATTCCCACTAGTATGGCTGCTGGGGACCACAAATTATAAATTGAGCATCCACAGGCCTTAATGGAGCCCTCAAAGGTTCTTTGATACTGTGATGCCCCAGGGGAAGATTGCATGATGAAAACTTGGATTGTGGAGAATCCAGTAGTAATAAAAATGGTGTTTCCCCTTGGGGAAAGAACAGCTTTCTTCTTAACTTGCCATCTCTCTCTACCATCCACATCAACATAAACATCCTCACTGGGCATAGGGGCACATGCCTGTAATCCTAGCATTTAGGAGGCTGAGGCAGGAGGATCAATCACTGGGAGTTCAAGACCAGCCTGGGCTACAAAGTGGGAGCTCAGAGTCAGCCTAAACTGCCTATCGAGACCCTGTCTCAAAAAGACAAAACAAAACAAAACAAAAAAAACCATAAAGATTCTCATTAGCATAAAGACACTGCCACCCTCTGAGCCATCCAATAATCTCTCCATTTACTGTATACATCCAATAATGTAGCTGGCTCTTGAGTGTCTTTGTCTTTGCCCATCCTGAGGTACTGACCTCCCAGCTCCCTGTCATGTGTTCCTTATTCTGTTTCTTATTTCATCCTTTCACTGTAGCCCTCACTGATCAGGTCCCTGATAAATGGCAGTTGGCCAGGCTGACTGATTACATGGCTTTGCTTGAAAGCTTATCATTGAGTTCAAAAGCCACCTTCAGAATCATGCCAAGCAGCAAATAGAGGAAGCCAAAATTTTAATTTTCAATTGACTGGGTGGATTAAGCATTTCAGCCTTATTCTCTGGGTGATAAAATGATGAATAATATAAAGAATATTATATATATTTTGCCCTTAAACCTTATGCTCTGGCAAATTCTCTTTCTGTGATATATAGCAACTTGTGGCTGTCAGTATTTTGTGGTTAGTTTATATTTCTTACGAAGAAGCTCTCCCTCCTGCCTCTTGTAGAATCGTGGCTGTCCATGGTCCACTTCAGCAGGCTACTGGAGTACACACCAGCACACACTGCACTCCCATGTGCACCCCTGGAGATGGCTGTGGTGATGCTATGGAAGTTGGGGAAGGCTGTCCCCAGGGCACTACCTGAATTACCAGGATTGCTCTGGAGAACACTCCCCTCCCCAAGAATCACTAAGGTAGAATGGTGAATTGTAGCTAAGGAACAAATAGACCATTTCCTAAGCAAACTAGTCTGTTACCATTAGATTTTCCCCAATAAGTGTGAGGGTATCCATTGTTACCAAAGGATGGTTTGTCATGAAAATGCGATTTATTGATGTCCACGAGAAGTATTAAGTTCTAATATCTCCTTTCAGAAGAAGGGACAAGTATGAAATGCATTGTATGAGGAGGGAAGCTATTAAATCAAGTAACACACTTTGTACAGTGCTTCCGCCAACTATCTGTTGCTTTTATTTTCCATAGCTTCAAATTTACCTTTTGAAGAAATGTTTCGTTCTTTACATGACAACCCTCTGAATATTTGAAATTGTTGTATTTTCAGATTTTAAAAACTCTTTAGATCATTTATCCTGCATTCCTTCAATAAGTAATTTTTTTAAAGACGGCAAGATGGACCCAGGTGAACATTATAACACGGGAAGTCTGAAGCACTGCACAAGGAGTTCTAACAAGTCACACCAAATTGGCAAGGTGGCCTTTACTTTTCTTAATTGGTCGGGTTTGAGAAATATCTGCTAATCCCTTTTCTTGCTTGGTCGGGTTTGATAACTGCCTGCCTATCCCTTAAACGAGTCTCTAGGCCGAGGCGAAGGTGGGTCTTGTTGCCTTGGCGATAGCGAGGTTGGGCTGAGAGGCTGCTTGGCCAGCCAATAGAAGCTGGGAGAGGCGGGGACAGCTCGGCCTGGGGCTGCTGCGGCGGAGCTTTGCAGGTTTGTGGACTAGGCTTTGAGGGAGAGGTCCGGGGGGCAGCAGGGATTTCAGGGGTCCCGGCCCAGCCCGGAGTCCCCAGGAAAGGGTGGCGGTGGCTTTTGCTGTGGGATTAGGGACCCCGTATCTGCACCTGGAGTTTCGGTCGGCGGCAGCGGGGAGGAGCTGCCAGACGGCGGAGGCGGAGATGGCGGAGGACTGTGGGACGCGACGCTAGGCTTAGAGCGCGGGCCGGCCGGAACATCCGGGGGCTCCTAGGGGCGGACTCTCGGCTCCCGACTCTGCGGGATGCGCTTTGTGGTCTGTGGGGAGCAGGAGACCTGGGAGAGAGGGAAAGGCGAGTTTAGCGGCCCGGTTTAAGAGGCCGTAGTGTCTTGGAGCGCAGCCCCATTTCCACATCCTGGCAAAAAGATTTAGGCTATGGTGTGCCACTTTCTCCGTCTCCGACTCCATGGCTCTTTTTTTCTTCTTTTTTTCAGTGTCTGGTCCTGCTAGCCCAGCAAGCCTGATAAGCATGAAGCTTCTATCTCTAGTGGCTGTTGCCGGGTGTTTGCTGGTGCACCCAGCTCAAGCCTACAAGGTGAGGGAAGGGAAGCAACAGCACCTTGAGCACTAACTCCCCGCCTGCAGGGCTCCCCACCAGGTAGCTTGGGTCCTCACTCACCAGGGAGGGGGCAAAGTCTTCAGCACAAGCTGCAGGGAGGAGTAGGATAGTGCACAAGGCAGAGAGGTGCTCGGGGGTAGATTGACCTGTGACAGAAATCCAGCAAGAAAGTTTAGGAAAGTTATCTAATTTTTTCCTACCTTCTCCCGGGTTAAATGGTAGTGGTTATATCTACTGCTCTGCTTGGCAGGATCAAATGACATAGCAGTTCAAAAGTGCTCCCCGAGTATAAAGTCCTATACAAATGGAAGTTTCTGTTATGACAGGGACCCACCTAAGTGGTGGACTTCTGAGATAACTCTAAAGGATCAAGAGTTTAATGTGGGTGGGGCTGTGGAATCTGAGATTCTGAAGATCAAAGTTTTGTAGGAGTGCTGAGTAAAGGTTTGCTTCTGTTCCCTCTAGGGAATGCCTAATTGTAATGCTGTCTTTTACCCATTCCAGGGGGGAAGAACTTTTAAAGAAATTGCTTGAGTATTTCCAAGGGAACTGTACACTTTTTCTTATTCGCCCCTACCCTTTGCTTTCCCCCAGTCCTAACCTAGGAGGTTAGAGATAGGATTAGAGGAAGAGGCTGGGCTGCCAGCCCACAGTACAGAAGTAAAAGTCTTGGCCTAAGGGTACAGGACTGTTATTTTGCTCCCCATCCTCCCCAAGCACCCCTCTTAGGAAATGGCAGCCTAAGTAGATTCCTGTGAGTCTCGTTTGCCACCTGTACAATTTTTGTCTTGAGGACCCCATGATGTAGCATCCTCCCTTGTTGAACTTGAGCATACTAAGCAGAGAACTAAAACGTCTACTTTTGCTGGAATTCTAAAATTCTTGCCTTGCCAGTATCTGAATCCATAGGAATCCTTCCTTCCTGATACAAGATTTCTCTTCCAGAGTTCTGAGGACATCCGGTGCAAATGCATCTGCCCACCTTACAGGAACATCAGTGGGCACATTTACAACCAGAATGTGTCCCAGAAGGACTGGTAAGACATTGGGCGCCGGCTGTCTCTTTGATGCTATACCTCATTGCAGTGGTGGGTGGTTTAGTATTCTTGGATCCCCTTGAGGATAAGCTTGTTCCCCCATTTCTATGGAGAGTCTTACAAAGAAATACTTTTGTTCAGCAGAACCAGGACCTAACAGTCTTGTCCAGCTGACGTGTTCCAGGTTAAAGAACCAGTTTTTTTTTTTTTTAAAGAACCAGTTTTGAATTTGGGTTTTTAATTGATATATGCAACATGGAGAGTCAGTGCTTGCTTCTGTTCCCTCCATGGAATTCTTGGTTGAAAGAGGTAGGTAATAGGACTAAAATAAGTCCCCGACTTATGGATGAGTTCTGTCCAGGAGGATGTTTATATAAGTCATATTCATTCATAAGTGTCACACAGTGAGGTTTATACATTTTTTATACAAGCATAGTACAGCGTAAAACATAAAAACACCAAACACAAAAAACTACGAAATAAGCTATTTTTACTTTTACCTTAAGAACACAGATGGAGCAAGGTACAATACAACTGTAAGTAAACCACTTTTGCAGTTACCTTAAAATGGTAAAGCAGGCATGTAAGATATTTCTATGATTTGTTTGTATCTCTGAATGTTCATAATGTGAGGTTAGTATCTGAAAGTTGACGTTTTCAGTGTTCATAACTTGGGGACTTACTATGTAATATTCAATGTTCTTTCAAAATTCTGCTCTCCTCACATGTTATTCTGTGCTAGTTTTATAGCAACCTTATAGGATCAGCTGGAAATGGGATGGATGTAGTTCTCATTTTATAATTGCATAGACTTAGGCCCCCAAAAGAAATTATATTCCTAGAGACTTGAAAGCATTTCTTAGAATCTTCTTTTAAAAAACAAAAGCTGAGCAAGGTGGCACATGCCTGTGATTCCAGCATTCTGGGAGGTTGAAGCAAAAAAGTCACAAATTCAAGCACAGCTTGAGTAGTTTAGCAACTTAGCAAGTTCTTTGATAAAGACCCTAAGTTCAATCCTCAATAGAGAGAGAGAGAATATAAACAAGAATTAATCAGAAAAAAGAGGCCAACTTGGAAAAAGAAAATTTCAGCACATTGTCCCAGAAGGAATGGTTTAAGAAACTGGACACAGCCTGAAGAGGACCTTGAAATCACCGTGTTCAAGACCAGGAAAGGGCTGTTGTTCCAGAGGAGGTGGAGCACACAGGATTGGGTGTTGAGGAGATCATGTATTCAGTGTGGTTTCTTGGTGTAGAGTGGAGGCCAGTGGATGAAAGCTTTGGGGAAACCATAACCATGAGTTAGGAGAACACTTCTATTTCAGGTAGTTTCAGGACTAGGAAGCCCCATCCTTGGAGTGAGCAGCGTATGGATGGGGCAAGGTCACTGGAGAAGGGACAACATGGGATAGGTGCTTGGTCAGTATTGCCTCTGCTTGGTTGTGCATTAGGATCATCAGGCAAGTTTTCAGAACATACAGACAGACTCCCAGCACTTTCCTCCCTACCTAAGATTTCGGTTCAGCAACTGTGAGTGGGGAGAGGTAATAACCTTTACTTAAAGTTGTTCTTTCGGCACTCATAATACAGTTGATTGAGAGTAACATTTGAGACTTTTGAAACTAGTTGGGTTTCTAACTCTTAAGATGATCTATCTGTGACAGACTCTGGAGCTGTCCTTTCTGGCTTCCTGTTTAGCTTTGCCACTTGTTACTTGTGTGACAAATTACTGAGTCTCCACTGGTTTTTTGTTCTTATTTGTAAAATGGTGACGTTTTGAATGTTAACAGTGTATGTATATGTGTATTTGTGCATATACATAAGAATTAAGAATAGTCAGTATTAGAACAATACCTGGCTCATCATAAGCATCACATAAATGTTAGCCGTTGTTATTAATATATCATCATGCATACCTAGTGACCACATTATCAAATTTACACTGTAGCCCCGGAGAACTTGGACTGCTCCCAAAGAACTAGCCTGTTTTTTCTGCTTTTACTGTGCTGATGAATTCACAAAGTCCTGCGACATAAAGGCCTAGAAAGGGCCCCACTGACGTCCATCTAACTACTCATCCATCTATGTCATATCTTTATATATTTCAAATATAAAGACATTAATGGGGTCTTTTAACACCATCTGGATAACAAGGCTATATCCCTTGTCCTGTACAAGTAAGCACTAGCACATTAGTAGCACTGTCACTATGCTGGGCTTATGGTATGGCCTGAAAACCCACACTCGGATGCCCAGAGGACAGAGTTCTGTCTAGATTGCTCCAGATGTAGTTTTCTTTCTTCCTTAGAAGTTAGAATGAGGGAGCTGCTTGATGAGCAACCTTATATCCTTGAGGTAGTTCCATTTAGAAATAGGGTGGAAACTGAGGCTGGGAGGTAAGGTGCCAGGATTTGGGGACCCAGTAACCTTGACAGTGTAAGAGTGGGGTAGGACCTTGGTATTGATCCTAGTACCTCAATGTTGGGGCCAGAATTGGAGACCACTTTGATTGGGTCTTCAGATCTCTGCCATGTTTTCAGTTTGGTGTCACATGAGTCCCATGCTGGAGTGATACTTGTCCCCTTCCCTTTGATAGTACAGGGCTTAATTGTCAGGGTTAATGGCCAACCCAAGTATGTTCCTGCGTTGTGGATCTTCTGCCATCTAGTGTGGAGAGTTTATAATCACATGAGTATAAAAAGGCAGAAACCCCAGCAGTGCTGCCCCATTGGCAAGTCTGCTTGAATACCTTGTAACATACCCTGTGTGTTACAGAGATAGTCCCAGAGCAGGAAGGACCTTAATAGCTTGATTAGTTTATTGCCTTTCAAACTTGCTAATACAGAAATATTCTACAAACACAATCTGTTGCGGGAACTAAGTGTGTAAATGGAATCAGAATTGCCCTGGCTGCATGGTCGTTCAGCCCCTCCTTACTGCCAGCCTCCTGCAGTGCTCGCTGTGCCATCCCGAAAGGGCATTTTGAAAGATGTGCACTGAGTCAGCCTCCATCCTAGATGAGGAAATCGAGGCCCAGAGAGGTTAAATGAAGTACTGCAATTACAGAGTAAGCAGGAGAGCAGAGAACTAAACCCCACTTAGCTTTCTCTTTAGCCTGCTCCCCTTTATGTCCTCTGACCAGTCCATGGAGTCTTATATGACTGATCCCCAAAAGGGCAGCAAGAAAAGATTTAGGGTTTCACTGATTCCTAGGAGCCCCAGAGTGCAGAAATACAGAAGCTGTTTGTTACTGCTCCCATTTCTCCATTACAGCATGTTTCCCTGGCCAGCAGGACCCCAGATCAAAGAACTCTGCTGACTTTGCCCGCTGCCCCTGACACTTTACCTCGGTCTTGGGAAGGGGGGATCACAGAGCAGCCTTCCAAACTTAGGACCCATGTGGCTCAGGGACAACATAAATTTGGTCCCCGAGAAGCTTGTGGAGACTTTCTAGAGAAAGAAAGGTGACAGTCCCACTGGACTGGAATAGTAGCCATTCAGACTGCCCCTGTCCATCAGCTCCTCCCAGAGGAAGGAAGTATGTAGAGGGCCTAAGTGGAGCCTTAGGTACAGTGAGGAGACCCATTCCTCACGGGGAGCAGTGTGGGTAGCTGGTACCCACACAGATTGTCAGAGGCCTGGATAAGCTCATAGATGCCACACGTTGAACTTTTGGGGGAACAGTCTTTCAAGGGCCCCCACTGTTATTTCGATATAGGATCGTCACATCCCTCCCCGTTGTGCTTCTGCCAGAAAGCCACCCTTCTAGCGCAGATCTGGCCTCTCGTGTTCAGGGAGCTGTGCTTGGCTCTTTCAGAACTTCTGATAGAACCATGGCATCTTACTGGAGAGGACAGGTGCAGGTCATGGACACTTGGTGGCAAAGTCAAGACAGTCTAGACCCGGCTGTTCACTGCAGCATGATACAGGCATGCATCCCTGAGGCCAAGGGCCTGGATCGGGGTCTTTGTCTTCAATGCCATGGTAGAGTTGCCACTTTGCCCTCCTGATCCCATTACCCTAGTTGTTGGTTGGTTTTTTTTTTGTTGTTGTTGTTTTTTGTTTTTTTTTGGTGCCGGGGATCAAACTCATGACCTCAGGTTTGCTGAGCAGGCATTTACTCTGCTGAGCTAAACCTCTGCCCCTTCCCTATTTGTTTATTTTGTTTTTGTTTTCTTAATACTGGGAACTGAACCCAGGGCCTTTCATGTGCTAAATAAGCACTTGATCACTAAGCTACATCCCCAGCCCTTTTTAAAATTTTGAGACAGTGTCTGGATGACTTGCGCAGGCTAACCTTGAACTTGCAATCCTTTTGCCTTAGCCTCCCAAGGGCTTTGTTTATAGGCCTGTGGCTCCATGCATACCTCTGTTTCCCTTTTTTTAATTGCAAGGCCTGCCGTTTTTAGTCCACTTTGCTCAAGAGCACTGCCAAGTGATGGGGCTACAGGAGCTTACTCATAACACACGTACATGCATACGCATTTGGCTGCCGCTCACTCACTAAGCCAGGGGCAGTGGTTAGACCTTGAGCTGAATCCTCACAAAATGGAGAAAGTAAAGTGGCAGAGCCATGCATTCCTGGCGGGAGTGAGAGAAGTGGCTGCTGCAGAGGACAAGCCAGCAGGTCAGCATGGCCAGAAGGTGCAGATGGGGTAAGGAGTGGCAGGGGTGGGGCTGGGTAGGGGGGCAGTGCTGGAGTGAGGTGATCAGCACCCAGAAGAGCAGTTTAGTTAGTTTGCCAAGGGGCTGTGGATTTCACACTGGGAAATTTGCAATAGTACAGTCACTGACCACTATGCAGAAATATGTTAGGCATGACTGGACGAGAGGTGGGACAGCTTGGGGAAGCGAGGAGGAGAGCCTCAGCTGAGCCACAGCAGAGGGAGAGAGTGGATAAGATAAATTTTACTTTGTTTTACTTTTTGATACTGGAGATTAAACTCCAGGTCTTCACACTGAGCTAAAACCCCAGCCACCACCACCACCCTTAATTGTTTTATTCTGACTGAGTTACTAAATTGCCCAGGCTGTGCTCAAACTTTTAGTCCTCTTGCCTTGACCTTCTGGAGTGCTGGAATTACACAGGGTACCATGTGGCCGAGAGGGATTTTAAAGGTTTGTAAGGCATTTGATGGATTCACAGGTGAAGGAAAGGCAGTGTGAAAGATGAGTTACGGGGTTTGCCTTGGCCAGTGGAGTGCATGCTAGAGGTGTCCTCTACCTGTAGAAACACGGACCATGGAGCCAGAGTAGAGGATTTGGGTCCCTAGGCAGAGCACATTGGTACAAGTGTGGCATTGTGGCCCCACAGGATACTCAGCAGTGAATCCTGTAGTCGCTGTGCTTAAGAGTTCAGCTTAGAAGAGAAAAGGGGGCCTGGCGAGAGACGTAAAGCTCGGACACCAGCTTCTTCACAGAAACCTTTGGGATGGATGAGGCCACGTGGGAGGGCCTAGCACAAGAAGGGAAGGCAGCAGAGGTCAGGGCTGTGGGGACCGCTGACACATTGGTGTGGGCACTGGGGGTGAAGTTCAGAGTGCCCCATCTGAAGGACACAGGCCAAGGGCTGCCAGGCTGTGACTGAGGAAGAGGTTCTGCCAGGCTTGCCCTTGAAAGCCCTCCACCCTCCCTTGGCACAGCTTTATTCCTGGCTACCTGCCTCCTGGGCTTCAAGCAGTGAGGACGTCCTACGGCCCCACTCATCCACAGTCTGCCCCATGGTCCCCGTGGCCCCTTTGTCTTTCACAGCAACTGCCTGCACGTGGTGGAGCCCATGCCAGTGCCTGGCCATGACGTGGAGGCCTACTGCCTGTTGTGTGAGTGCAAATACGAGGAGCGCAGCACCACCACCATCAAGGTACCTTCACCCATCCCTGAGGTGGGCACGCCGTGCGAGACCTGGCTGTCCGCCCCCACAGTCTCTGCTTTATTCTGTGGGGTGCCCTAGCCACACTTCTGGAGCTGTCTTCTCTGATGTCTTAGCAGTGGTGCCCGTCTAGTGGCAGGTGGGAGTCATGGGAGGGTGGCTTGCAACTGTTTTTTGCTCCCCTTCTTTCCAGTTTTTCCTTCCTCTCTCTTCTTCTGTACATTCTGTGTCTGTCTTTTGGGTGCCTCCTGTGTTTGCGCCATGCTGGGATAGAAAGGGAAGCCTGTCCCCCTGAAGCTCACAGTGTGACCTGCGACCAGTCCACAGACCTGTTGGACAAGCGCTGGTGTTGGGTACTGGCCCCTGAGCTCCTTTGCTTTCTCCTGAGCCATGTTCTCAGCAACCATTTGGGTGAACTTGGAAGAGAGGTGACAGCACAGCCACCACCATAGGGAATGGGGGAAGAGGTCACAGGGTCTGTGTTCATCACTTTCTCATCAGTGAAACACAACAGCTGGCACCCACAGCTCTCAGGAGGAGAGGTTTATTGTGGTTCTCGGTTCAGTCTGTGGTCAGCAGAGCCCCAAGCAGAAACGGCGTGGCAGAGGGGCCGGCAGGGGAAGGCTGCTTACGTCATGGCAGCCAGGAAGCAGCGGGCAAGAAAGGGAGCTGGGGAGGGAGACGACCCTTTCCAGGTCACACCCTCAGTAACCCACCTTTCTGACCAGACCCCACCTAATCCAATCACTTTACAAAACCACGAAGCTTTGGGGACCATTTTAGATCTCAGCCATAACAAGGTCCCTGTCCTTTTCCCTGCTAGCAAGCAAGACTCAACCAGGGACCATGAAACTACCTTCCTTTTTTAAAGCTTGTTATTTATTTATTTATTTTTCTCAAAGCACTTAGATTAATTAAGCTTGTTTTTGCTTATCCTCTGATAAATGTAGAAACTGCATCAGCAAATAACCCTTACGAGTTTCAAGATGCTGCTGTGTCCTCCCGAAGGCTCTAGCTTCTGAGCCATGAACGGAGGGGAGGTGGATCTCATGGCATTCCTCCCTGCCTGCCCCAAAGAACCCTCGTCCTTCCCTGAGCTATGAGCGCCTTCTTGTTCTCACCCTTCAAATGGGAAGCAGCTCTCTACAAATCCCACCATTTCCCTATAGGCTGTGCAGGCCACACTATGTCCCTCCTCCTGCTTCTGGGCCAGCCTTTTCTGGAGTCTCACCACCTCTGAGCTTGCTCCAGGGGCCCGACCCTCTGGAGAGCAGATACCTGAGACCTGCAATTCAGAGCCAGATGTTATCTCTCCCTGCTTGCCAGGGTAGGGTCCTCATAAGACACAGCCTCCTAATCCCTCGCATTTGCTTCCAGTCTTTTCGTCTAGGGCCCAGCCCCCTTCACGCAGACAGACTCAACCTCCATTCTCCTTGCCTGTCCTGGGTAGAGGCAAGAGGTGTGATTATTCACCCTGTTCAGAGAGGCATGAGCACTGGCCTTTTCAGTCCAGCAGGAAGTTGAATGTGTTGAACTTGACTGATAACTAAGTTGGAAAACAAATTTGAAAGACCTGAGATTCTCCTTTTATGTTTATCCCACTTTACAGTCAAATCAGAAGCCAGTGGTGGTCAAGTGTTGTGGCGGGAAAAAGGTATTTGAGATGAAGTCAGCAAATCTGGTTCAAGTTACAGCTTGACTAGTCTTGGGCTCTTGAATGGGTTATGTAGCCTGGTAATTCTCAGTAAACTGCTACTGTCCCCTCCCAGGGGCATTTTGAGATGAGTGAAGATGCTTTTGTGGTCCCAGTAACTGAGAGGCATTACTGACATCATTACAAGGAATATGGGGGCTGAATGTCACAGCACCTTACTGAGAAACACTGAAGCAGCCTCATTAAACCCGTCCTTTCTGTAAAATGATTTCTCAAGCTTGGGATGGCCCTCCCTGCCTCTTCCCCCAGGGATGGTAGGTTGGCCATAGCCCTCCAGTGCACAGCCTTTGGCCTGTCTGTCCCACACTGCACAGTGGTGTACCCTGAGTGGGCTTTGTACCCTCCCACCCAGGCTTACTCTCCCTGGCCTCTGCCCTCCAGCCCTTGTGCCTTATTCTTACATCGAGGTGCTCACCCCTCCCGCATGGTGGGAGCCACTGGGAGTCCATCTGCCATCTTTATGTCCATCAGAGCACTCACTGTGGGACTCCCCTGGGTAGGACACAGCTGGTCAGCTGATGTGGGTCATCTCTGTCCCTTCCTGGTGCTCTTGCCCTCCACACCTAGTCCTTCCAGGTGCAGCCCTTGAGGGGTCACCAGCCACAGAACCCAGGTGGAACAAGTCCAGAAGTGGGTTTGTCACCATGAATGTTGGTTTACAGGGTAAGTTGTGTCTCCCTCAGGTCATCATCGTCATCTACTTGTCCGTGGTGGGGGCCCTCCTGCTCTACATGGCCTTCCTGATGCTGGTGGACCCTCTCATCCGAAAGCCAGATGCTTACACTGAACAACTGCATAATGAGGAAGAGAATGAGGTAACAGGCCCTAGTTCCAGCCTGCCTTAGGGCACAATCTAGAAGAGCATCCCCAGGATTGGTGTCCCTCAGCCTGCTTCATGTTCCAGGTTTCCCTCATGTCCCCAGACTAAGCAAGGCACTGTCCTGTGTGCATTTTGATGAAGAATCAGGTGGCCCAAAATTTCCTGACCCAGTGCAAGGCCTCAGAGCACAGGTGGGAGAGCTGTGTCTCCCTGATATGCCACATTGCTGGGCAGAAAGAAGTGAGCTAACCCGGGCCAGCCATGGGTGGAGACATATAACATCCTGCCGGCTTAGTTTTGGGTAGACTTGGAGGCCTCAGTTTATTCTGTGCGTCGGTGCTTGCACAGATGGCCGTGGCAGCGATGGTGGACCTGTCAAACAGTGCCACAGTGAACTGTGTGCACTGAAAGCTGTGCCAGGTTTGCCATCACCGGTCTGTTGCTCTATAAGGCAGGAGGCTAAGAGTGAGGGTGATGGCTGCGCATGTGTGAGGAATTTGAGCATCAGGGATAGGGGAGGCATCCAGGAATATCAGCAGGTAGAGCTGGTCAGAAAGGTGAGGCCAGATTAATAAAGGCCTCAAAGGGCAAGCTGTGAGGTTTTGACTTTAAGTGATAAGGAATATGAGCGGTCACTAACACCAGGCAGCCTGAAAATGCTATCTTGAGGGACAAACTGTGTGGCTGCACTCTGTTCCGAGGCCTCACTGCTGGAATATACTCCTGTCTGTGCAGTGTGAATGAGTAAGATCTGAACTCACATGTATCCAGTATCCAAAGGAGCATCTAGTGAGGGGCTACCTCTGTCATGTTCTAGAAGATTTAGTTGAAGGAACTTGGAGATACTTAGCTTGAAGGAAACAAAACAAACTCAAAGAGGCACACACCAGTGCCTTCAGCTATCTGTAGAGCAGAGTCTACCCCTCCCCAGTCCCCAGTGATAGAAGGGCCCACAGGTGGGTGTTAGAGGAGGTTTAAGATGACAGTGTGAGAGAGTCCAGCACACAGCATGATCTCATGGTGGAGTGTATGGGCTTCCTTAGAAGATGGTGAGTTGTGGGTCACTAGAGGTGACCAGGGATAGGCTGAGCTGCTCTTGGGCAGTTAAGAGTTTAAAGCTTTTCAGGCCCTAAATTGGAAGTGGGAAAGGGCAAGTTCCCCACCAGAAAGAGAATTGGGGCATGAGTGTGCATGAAGCTGCCCAGGTGGTTTGGGTCTGGACCAGCGTAGGCAGGGAGCACAAGGGCAGGTCAGGAGGAAGAGAGGAAGGCCTGCCTGCTTCCTCTGACCTCGATACTTCTTGTGGGTATGTGCCTGGACTGTTCCCAGTCTGTCCCCAACCTCCTGCTGGCATGAATTTGGCCAAAGGAGCTGGGGCCTGGAAGGTGGTGGGGCTGGCAGTTGGGTGGTCTGTGCTCAAGAGGAAAGCCTGTGAACCTACCCAGTTATTAATGTACAGTAATAGCACCTCTGATAAGAGAGGAACATTGCTAATAAACACTCAGCGATTAGGGGTAATGTGCTAATTGCAGCCCTGGCCGAGGAGTAATTGAGAAAGGCAGCCGATGATTACATGGCCTGTGCTGCGATTTCCCTGGAATGCATGACTCTCGGGCACAGCCTTCTTGTGTCTCCTGCCGTCCTAAATGTGGAGCCAGAGGAAGGGCAGTTGCTGTCTTTGGGTCTGAGCCCGCTTTCTTTCCTGCAAGAGATGTGGGTGCTCCTCACTTGGAGTCTGTCTGTGGGCGGCCTTGGAGGAAGGAGGGCTTAGGTTTGGTCAATCTCATTCTGAAAACATGACCTAAATCAGAGGGTGGTTGTCTCCTGGGTGGGTTTGGCTTGGGGTCCCTGTGCTTAACCACATAGAAGGGTGCCTGTGAGGATGTGGGCTGTCACAGGTAGCACTGAGCTGGAACTGGTAAGCCACTGCCCCATCTGTAGAGGAGAGTCCTCCCACTCTGAGGCTCAGGAGAGCTGTGTAAAGTTGTGTTTAGTCTCTCTGAGACCCTGACTGGGGGTGCAGCCAGCTCTGGCTGATGGCCCACTTACCTGGGGGCTGGGGCAGGATGGAGCTCACTGGGTGCTCTTACAGTGGCTTAGGAAATACTCTAGTCCCATGGATTGGTATCACCTCTACATTTCCTTGCCCTGGGTGATGCCATGTGGCCCAGATGCAGATGCCTGTGGTCCAGCAGCTGCACTTCTCTCCTGTATCCAGACATCCCATAGGTGGTACTATGCTCAGAGTTGCCCAGACCCAGTCTGCCTGCAGACAGAGCCAAGATAGCCAAAGCCAGGTGAATAGGCAGGCACATAAAGGTGATTGGTAAGATCTGACTGTTACCTAAGCAGTCAGATGAGGAAGCTGGGTACTTTGGAGGAGCCTCTGACTAGACAGGGGGAAGTTGCCCTTCCCTTTGTGCTGATCAGCAAAGGCAGGCTTCCTGGCAGAAGGGGACCTTCAGAGCTGACTCAGACGGTAGATGGGAGAGGGAGTGCTTACTGCATTAGAAGGACAGTGGCTTTAAGCTGGAGAGAGAACCAAGGGTCTTGTCTTAATGGTGACCAATGATGCTGGTCTTGGACAGTGGGAATAATCTACTACCTTCTCAGTGCACCTAAGGCAGGGACGTGAGGGACTGAGGGCCACGGAGAGAGGTCCCAAGGCCTCCCAGCGGTACAGTAGCAAGGGCAAGGTGTAGAGCTCTTCATAAGAAGGAAACAGCAAAGACCAGGTGTCCCTGGGCTGGAAGGATCTCACTTTCACCCCAAGAGGAAGAAAGTAGGAGTGTAGTCCCTGTCCTTAAGTATGGAAGGGGTGCCTGTGAGGCTGACCTAGGGAGTGTGCAGTGATCCCGGGCCTCATCTCTAGCAGGATCCCTATCACACAGTTCCTTGAGTGCTCCCAAGGCTGCACAGCCTGGTGACCGGTGACTGCAAAGGAAAACCCTAGACCTCCAGCCCCTCCCTGACAGCCTGGGATGCAGTCAGAGGTGGGATCTGGAAGATGGAGCACTTATCAGGTCTAGGGCCTTCTTGATTCCATCTCCCCAGTTCCTTTGGCCAGGAGCTCTCCTACCATGGGGCAAGAGGACTGGAAGAGGAAGGGCCTTCCTTCCCCACAGCGCAGCGCAGCTCAGCTCAGCTCAGCCCAAGTCCATGAGGGGAGATAAAAGCCTGTCATGCTCCCTTTGAAAGCTCTGGCAGAGCCTCAGTGGGCCTGATTGCTGGGTGCTGTGCCTCCCCTGGGATTCCAGCAGCATTAGGACTAATCCCTGGGCTCAGACGCCCTTTGAAAGGAGGAAGCCAGCATGTTTTCTGGGACAGAAATGGCAACAAAGCTATTTAGATGTACAGGTCTGGCCCTCTTTGAAGAGACAAAAGTGAGGGTTTTCTCTGTGGCTCGGGCTGGTTCTGCTGCTTACCCTAATCTCTGACAGGGCCTTCAAAACAGGTTTTGAAAGTTCTTATCCTTATGGGACAGTGGGTGTAGTTCTTAGCCCAGTGTGAAGGGGTGTACAGAAGAATCAAAGATGGTAAGGGTGATGACCACAGGAACCGTGTATGGACTGGGAGAAGAAAACCTGTTCCCCTTTCCTGGCAGAGACCAGGTAGGCAGCTATGTGCGGAGGATCTGGGCAGTGGGGGCTGACAGTGAATCACTGAGAAGCCACGTGCTGATAAGGGCAACGCAGAGCCTCCCTGCCCAAGGAAGGCACTGCTCAAAGACCTTTCAAGAACGCCTATTAGGGGAAGCACAGGACAGTAGCTGGGAGTAGGGCTGCGAGGTTCCAGTATGCAGTCCAACTCTGTCACTCACTGTCCTGGGTGTTGAACTTAAAGTTTAGGTGTCTCAGTCTGGAGCAGACAGTCTTTTCTACCTCAGCTTGGTTGCTGTGTTAATGCACATGGAGGCTTTACCAAGTTTGACCATCCTTAAGGATGAGGTGTTGCAGTTTGCAGTCAGGTCTCAGCCTGCAAGTAGCATGGTGATTGCTGGAGAAAAGCTGAGGTGCAGGGTCTGCAGGGTGTGGATGAGGAGGCCACTGCAGGTAGAGAAGGGGCAGAGTGTACAGCTGGTGGGCTGGAGGCAGAGCCAAGATCGAAACTCATACCGTCTGAGCCAGGGCTGTGCTCAGCAGGTGTTTACCTTTGCATAGCTGGGTCCCTGCCTCGTTTCTGAGCAGGGGAACGGACTATTCAACTAGTCAGTGTGCAGAGGAAGGTGACTGGCTACAGATGCTGGAGTCAGGGAGAGCCTGGGAGCAGAGAGATGCAGAGGGGTTTGCTGCAGCAAGAACAGCTAGTGTTAAATCTGGGGCAACCCAGAGAGATTGTGTAGTTGCCTTTCCAAAGGGCTTAGCACTGGGGCCCTTCTTTGCGTGCCTGGGTCGATTGAGAGTGCCAGGTTCTGCCTCCATGCCTGGTTTGGGGAGCAAGGAGGAGGACAGGCAGGTTGGTCTGCTTGTCATCAGGTGAGGCCTAGTCTGGTGCCCACTGCTAGCCAGTATTCCTGGGGCACTGCAGAGGGTATCCCCAGATCATGGAGTCACCCACGTAGTGCAGAGTCCTCCCGAGCCTGAGAGGAGAACCTTGCAGGAAGCTCCTGATCATGTGGCCTTTGCGGGCACTTTGTTCTCACTTGAATCCTGGGAGAAGAAACCTGCCTGCTACTTCGGACGTCCACGTGGGCTCCTCTCAGGAGAAACCAGCCAGAGAAAGATGCAGCCAAGTCCCAGGATAAGAGACCCAGACATGGGGCAAGTCCCAACTCAGCGCTGGAGGACTGCATGGCCTTGGGTAGCAAACTGATTGCTCCTTCAGAGCTTGTTTCCCCACCCACAGATGGGGATGACACTGGCCGTTTGCTGGTGTAGTGAGCCCAGGAGTAACCAGGCCTGGCGGTCACTTCTCAGAGTCACGCTAGTCCATGCCTGGAGACCTCTGAGGAACCCCTCCATACCCACACTGCCACAGAGCCCGGCCCTCTCCCGACTGCCTTCCCCACCCCTGTGTACCCTGAGACTCGGCCTCAGAGGGAAAAGGGGTAGAAGTCCATCGCCTCTCTCTGCCATCACCTGCCATCACTGCTGCACATCAGGCGGGGATGTGCCGCAGTGGGCTACGGGTAGGACAGATGGGGAGTCTTTAATACCTTTAATCAGACTATTAGCAGTGGGAACGCGGCGCCTCTGCAGAGGCTTTCCCCCACTTAGGAGCTGTTTGCTAGGACTTTACATGAAGGGCTAACAAATGACGCTGCGGTAATGTGGTGAATTTCAGCACATTCCCTTAATGCCCGCTCTTGGCTTCCCTGCCTTTCGCGCCTTCACACGCTCCCTGGGAGCAGAGCAGTAGAAGGAAGCAGGGCCCACACTCACCCACTCTTCCAGGCCTGTCCCTGAAGATCGCACCGCCTGCCTCTCAGGTCACAGCCAGGTACCCCTCCCCGAGCCATGCAAGGGCATGCTGGCCCCAGGAGGGATGAGACTGGGAATGAGGAGGAACAGATGCCTTTCTGGTGCTCAAGACAGCGTAGCTAAGTCCTGGTGGCCCGCAGCTTCCCGGGCAGATGGATTTTCTGTGCACATCTCATCCTGACAGCCATGCAGAGGAAGAACTGAGCAGAGGCACGTCCTGAGCACAGACAGCGCAGGTAGTACAGCTGAGCTGGGGAGGGCCAGGCTGGGAGGTCGTGCATCAGTTGTAATTACTGTCCAGAGGCAGCTTTCCACCCCTTCCCCTACCTAAGTGGGTCCCAGAACTAGGGACTAATACTGACCATTGCTATAGTTCATTGACAGCTTCCTGCCTGCCAGGAGCTTCAAAAGGCTGTGATTCAGTGTCTTACCACGAAGCTGCCTTTTCTGAAGGAGAGAGAAATTGATTCAAAAAGAAGATAATTTTCCCATTATATATCTGGTAGGGGTCAGAACCTGCAAAGTCAGGTTTGATTCCAGCGTCTCTCTAACCACTGTGCAAAACTACAGAGAAAAAGAAATGAAGCATTTCTTAAGCTCCTGCTCTGTGCCTGCCGCTTTACTAAGTGCGTCATATATGACTTAACTTAGCCAGGCCTCACTAATCATAAAACAGTGTTTTGCACACGGTGGATCATAAGCTGCTGAAGTGATGTGACCAGGATTTTTAAGAAATTAAATGAGCAGGCGTAGTGATGCATGTTTATAATCCCAGCACTCTGAGAGGCTGAGACAGAAGGATTGCCAATTCAAGCCCAGCCTGGACATTAGAAACAGTTTTAGACCATGTCTAGAATGAATGAATAAATGGAAGTGTAGCTCAGTGTGAAAGCTCAGGGCTCCATAGCCAGTACTGCAGAAACAAAAATAACATCCCTGCCCCAAAATACAGCAGAACAGGGAATATCACAATGCATCATATTCAGTACTGATTTAGAAACTTTTTCATTTCATGTGTGTGTGAATCCTAGATCATCAGGTAATTATATTTCCCACTAATAGCATGGTGGAAGAAAGTTTCAAAGACTAGGTTTATTAGGTTGAAGCTTGGAGAAATAAAATGACTTGTCCAGGGACACACAGCTGCCAGCTGGCTAAGGCCATGCCTCATCCTTCCAGCATCTTATGTGGACCTGTGGTTCCATCTGAAATGGACACAGGGGAGTCTGAGGCCAGAGGGGCAGGTAGTGTCTGGCCCAGGCATGGAACCCAAGGGTCTTGATTCTAAGCTGATGCACCCTGCCGGATCCTGCCAGCACTACACAGCCTCACCTCTCCTGGCCAGGAAAGCCTTCCTCAGGCTGGTCCTGGCCAGGATAATGTCCTGGTCCAAGGGCTCCTAGAGGCCAGTGTCCACCTTAGATGAGTGTGCATGAGGCAGATGACTCGGCTGTGTGGTAAGTGTGATGAAGTCTCTCCCGGGTCCCTTCTCTAGCCAGCCACCTCCCTGCTGTACCAGCCCACTCTGCTTCCCGCCCTCTCCTCACTGCCCTCCCTCTTCCCCAGCCTGGCAGCTGTTTGACGACAGAAGCTGTGCCAGCTCAGGGCATTAGAAGCAAAGTTACATTTACTGGGCGGCTCTGGGCTTAGTGGGGTGCACTAATCCTTTAAGAGATGTATGGCAGGAGATGAGAAGACAGGAGAGCTAGAGAGGAAATCCCCATGGGGCTGTGGGCCTGGCCCTCAGCTCTAATTCCCCCCAAAGATCAGGTTCGGGTGCTGCAGGAAATGCATGGGCTCTGGGGCTTCAGAGGCAGAGAAGTGGTAATTAGGGAGGACTGACAACAGGAACAGGTCTGAGAGCAAAGGGGAAGGGGGAGCATGGTGGGGCAGCGGGGCAGGTGCCAAGCTGTCTCGGACTATTGGAGGAGGGAGCAGGGCGCAGAAGGCTCTGGAATGGGCACCCTGGGGTCAGGCCTGGAATTGTCATTCCAGCTGGTCTCTTGGAGTGACGTCACATCTTCTGTCTCACAGGAAGCTTGGTGTGTATTGTCCCCTCACTGATCAGAGCAGATCCTGCCTCCCTGTGTGAGGACTCAAAGACAGTACTTAGTATTCCTCTCGGATGGTAGTGACAGACCTGTGGGCTTCAGACTTGGGCCAGCTGTCTTGGAGTAATTGGGGTCTGAGAACATACTCTGCCGCCCCAGGGAGGAATGAAGCCCCAGCCTGTAGATGCTACTGTGCAAGCCACTCGTTTCCGCAGGTGTTGAGGCAGGGTCTCCAGGGAGCCCACAGCTCTGGGAGAGAACAGACTTCAGCATCACTCGTGGGGCTTCCATTCCGTGTTAGACTTTTCCAAGCCCCTGGCCCCTCTGACTTGCTGTGCCACACCTCTCCTTTATTTTTCCACTCCAGGATGCACGCTCTATGGCAGCTGCTGCCGCATCCCTTGGGGGACCCCGAGCCAACACCGTCCTGGAGCGCATGGAAGGTGCTCAGCAAAGGTGGAAGCTGCAGGTGCAGGAGCAGCGCAAAACGGTCTTCGACCGACACAAGATGCTCAGCTAGATGGGCTGGTGTTGGCAGATCAAGAACCCCAGCCGTGGCCGCCGCCTCCAGGGCTGAACAGAGCCAGGGCCACTTCTCCTCTGCCTTCCATGCCTGTCTTCCCCGGGTCTTCCCTTGCAGAGCCTGTGGCATTTTTCGTTTTCCCTCTCTCTATAGAAATGCCATACGTGGCTGTTTTGATTAGGGAGTATTATGAGGCCGCCAGTCTCCGTCGGCTCCTTAGGTCTCTGGGGTAGAGGAGAGGGGGGCAGACCAGAGCGGAATGGAGACATCAGAAGTGGCCTCAGGGTTGGGAGGAATTGGTTTCTTCCTGCTCCACCTTTGCCACCCGTTTCAGCTCCACCTCTTGGAGATTTTATTACCCTTTGGAAGGGTAATAAGAGAGAGATTGTATTATCCTTTGGAAGGTGGAGCTGGGTCATCAGAAGAACGCATGACCCAGCGTTCAGCTTGGGCTTCTGTCTGCTGTGGTTCTGATCTTCCTTCTGGTCCTAAGCACAGCCAGGCCTCCGCCCTCAGGAATGGCACTGGTGGACAAGCCAGTGCTGCTGAGCCTGTGAGGTTCTCAGGATACCTGGAAGCTTGATTGTTTCTTCCTGGGCTCCTCATCCACCAGTGCATGGCAGTGCTGGACATTCCTGCCTCCGGCACTGTATGTCCTCTCATTCCACTCTGGGAAGCTGGCCAGGTCCTCTTCTCTCCTAGTGTCTGCCATTGCTGAGCCAAAAAGACACTGCTGAGCAGTGGACTGAAACATCATAGCTCCTGTTCCTGGTTCACCACGTGTCCCTGAATGTTATTGTACCAGTGCATGGAGATAAATGTTTGTCCTTCTGTTGTCTATAAATCAAGGAAGCCATCATTAAATGGTTCTGTTTCTCTCACTTTCTGGATTTTTTTTTTTAAATAAGAGAGTGCTTCACAAGTGACTTGGTAAGCACAGTGTCCAGAGGGCATAGAGAACATTGTCCTCGGGAGGTGCTGGCAGACAAGCAGAGGCTTGTAGCACCCAAGTGTTGTGAGTGAGCCATGGTGGGATCCAGCTGGAGCCCAGGGTTCACTGAAGCTCCTGTCACCTACCAAGGATGGAGACCAGGAGGGTGGGAGGGCTGCTACATAAGGCCCCTCATTAAGAGAGGGTGAACTGGCTCTGGGAATTGTTCTGAGATTTTGTTTGCTGCCTCTTTCTGGGACTGTCCTCAGTGCCTGTCACCCCTGTGTTCAGCAGACACAAGGAATGGTGCCAACTGCAGAGTGGCCCTAAGGCAAACAAAAAACCAGCATCCTGGCACCCATCTTGGGAAGTGCAGGGCAAGTTGGAACAAGACATCTCAGGGACCAGAGGATCAAGTTGATCCTCTGTCCTTGGGTTTGTCCAGATGAACATATTGAAGCCCCTGCTGGGTTCTCGAAGAGACAGGAGGCAAGAAAACAACTTGAGGAGCTTCAGATTGCAGAGACGTTCCAACATTCAGAGCTGATTTAAGTACTAACGGGAATGGGAGTGGGTGGCTTCAGATGGAGTTTCTAGGAGGATAAAAGAGACTGGATTTGACTTTTGAAAGCAAGTAAAGCCGGGTGTGGTGGCTCATGCCTGTAATCCCAGCACTCAGAAGGCTGGGGCAGGAGGATCGTTGTGAGTTCGAGATCAGCCTTGGCTACAAAGTGAGTTAAAGTGTAGCCTTGGCTACAAAGTGAACTGTAGGAGACCCTGTCTCAAAAAGACAAAAAAAGACAGCAAGTAAGGCACACAGGTGAGAGGGCTCCAAGGACTGGGATCCTGTGCTTGCTTGGCTGCCATGAGGTCTGTGGGGAGGGGAGTGAATGGAAAAAATACGCATCATAAATTCTAGGCTGGGATAGACAGATGGCTACCGATCACATTTTTATCCTGTTTATTCCCCTGACATTTCTCAGCAACTGTGAGAGCCAAGCAGTTGCCCATTGGACCTTTTGAAGATAAAAATGTACTTATTTTAAGAGGCAGATAAAAGCAGTGCTCTCCAAAGGTGGGCGGAAGGGCACCTTAATTTGCCAAAAAACAAAACAAAACGTGACAACAGCAAAAAACCCACCTCACTCTGAAGCTTGACTCTGACATTGCCAGAGCGCCCCTCTGAAACCACACCAGCCACACTGCCACAGAGCTCTGCAGAGGTCCAGCCAGGCTTGGGGTGTCTTAAGGACTTCGTCTGAAGCAAACAACTGCTAACTGCAAAGAAGCTCAACCATAAGTAAGCTCAGTCCATGAAAATTTATGACATTGGGTAGGAGTGAATGTTCACTTACATGAGGATTCAACTAGTAACCGAATGTCTAAATATACACCAACTTCACACACAAAAAGCCTGATTTTCAAACATGAATTTCAGAGAGCACCTCATTTTCTTTTGGTAAGTAATGAACAGCAAATCCCACAACCTTGCACCCTCATGTAGATTTCTCTGCTTGGGTGATCATTTGGAACAGAGAATAAGACCCTGTTAGTTAGCAATGGAAATGATCAGCAGGAGCATTCCAAATCCCATCTGGGAGCAAAGGAATAGAGCTTTTGTGTTGTATCCAGAAATCCTTTTTGTCTTTCATCAAACCCCACCAGCTGGTTGCATTTGGCCCTGGTGACCAGCATCTTGGAATCAGTCCCCAGTTAGAGACCAGCGCTCAGGGCTCCTGCAGTCAAAGGGAAGGGAATGAGAGGCAGAGTCCAGCCGGCTTCCTCACTCAAACCAACTGTTCCTGGCATCCATCCTCATGCACCTGCTGGCCACACCCGAGCCCAGCCTGGCTCCACTGCTCCTCCCTGGGCTCCTTGATGCTGCTGTGAGAGACTGAGTGTGACCATTATGTGTTCACAGTGTTCCCAATAGGGCCATTCATTTTTTCTTAAGCCTCACTCTAGAGGTCATGAGGCAATGTTTCTGTATTTCCCCTTGGCTTACCCTAGGAGATCTTGGAAACTACTGCATGTCAAGAAAATCAAAGCCGTTAGATGCAATCTCTTAATGTCCTTATCCCTGCCTGCAAACTTTTCTTCCTTCAACTTGACCAATGTTAATATGGTCTTGAAGATAGCATGTTTCTCCCACTTAGAGCCGACTCACCATCCCATGGTGGACTTCAGGACCTCTCTGTTCCTGCACCCTTTCCTATAACCTATTAATGTGCTCAGGTCTCCCACTAAAAAGAACCTTTCCTAGGCTCCACATCCAGCTCCGGCTACCATGCATTCTCCCCTATCACCATCCCCTGCTGTACATTGTTGGTCACTTACCTTGTGCCACCTGCAGGCTGACCCCATGTTCCTAGGAAGGTGACAACTCAGCAATTGCCAGGCACAGAGAATGTTCCTGGTTCTTACCTTTCTGACCTTCACTGCTATTTGACACCATTGATTCTTCTCCCTTTTAAATTTACTCTAGCTAAGGTTGAGGCTTTAGCTTAGCAGCATCAGCACCTACCTGGCATGCAAGAGGTTGTGAGTTCAATCCCTGGTACCAAAAAAAAAAAAAAAAAAAATTTACTCTGCCCCCCAGCTCCTTTTATATTTTTAATTTAATTGATTGTGTTACCACTCACCAACATGTTGAAGCCAGAAACATGGAGGCTACTGGTTCTTGGTTATCTTTTAAGTTTTGGGTTTCAGGGAATCAAACTCAGGACCTTGCCCTTGCCAGACACGTGCTTATGTCACTGAGCTGTATCCCCAGCCCATCAGTCCTTGATTCTTCCCTTGTCTGTAGCTCTCACTTCTAAAGGCTCCCATCAACTTTATCTTCAAATACGTAGTTCAGGGCTCCACCCCTGCTCGTCCTCCCTTCCATCACTACGCAGCTCAAGCCTTTATCATTTCTCTTGTCCGGAACCTCCAGAGACTGTATTTAATCTGCCCACGTCACTTTCCTTTCTCAAAACTTCTCGGGCCCCTAATTCCTAAAGTGTGAATGAGCCTACCGATGTGAGCTCATGTAGGTGGGTGCCAGGCCCTCAATCCCAGCCAAGCCATGGTCTTAAACTGCCCCCGAGGCTTTGGTTCTTGCCAGACTTGTTCCCTACCAGCCCCCAGTTTCTTATCCCTGGCCTGGGTTTTGGCTGAAGGGGCCCTGAGCTGGAAGAAGGAACTGAAGGAATAGAAGAGGAACACCGCAAACCTGAGCTTGCAGTCTGGTACAAGCTTCTGCTTTCCTTGGCACAGACACCTCCAAAAGGCCTGACAAGTCAGTAGGTGGAGTGAAGAGTGGGAGCCCAGAAGCTGGCATCCGCCTCAGTTCTCCACCCAGCTGAGCCCTGGCAGTCCTGTGGCGCCCCTGTGCCAGTCCCCCTAGCTGTAGGAGAACCACTGCCCAAGCCTTGGCCAGAAGTAAGTTCTCTTTAAATGTAGCTACCAGAGGCGGGGCTAGTGTGGTACCAGGAGGCTAGGCAGAGGCCTCCCAGCCCTGTCCTCCACTTAGGAAAACAAGTGGAGCCACTAGAGCTTGAACTCTGAGCTTCATAGCTGGCTGCAAACTCTACCTGGCCAGGCAGCTTTGAGTAGAGTTTCTAACCCCACACGTGAGTGTGGGTGACTCTCATTCACATCACTGTGTTACAGGGTAACTTCCTGCCCATCAAGTCAAGGTCCTGCAGATTAAACAGGGACGTCCTGCTCTGTGTTATCTGAGGCTCCTTCAACACGAGGGAATCCTTCTTGTCTATTGCATCCCACCCTTGCTGACGTTCAGTTCTGGGCCTCTCAAGGAGGAGTACCCCTATGGCTTCCTGTCTCCCCTCCTGGGCAGAGATGAGCAGGAAGTGAGGTTGGGGGATAAAAGGCTCTGAGGAGGCTGAGTTCACAGAAGCTGAGAGCTTCCACTGATTAGTGCACCACAGGGGACATGGAGGGTCAAAGTTCCAGGCTGGGGGTCAGGAATCCTGCTGACCTCAACAGAGTGAGCCTTCTCTCTGAGCCTTGCTTCAAAGAGACAAGGAGGCCCATGGCTTCCAGAAGTTTGGTTCACATAAGTGAGGAGAGTTGAGTGAATACCCAGAAGAATCCTTTATACTGAAATAGTTACGTGATTATTTTAATGTGTATTAAAAAAACATAATTAGTGTCTCTATGATTTTGTGAAAACTGATAAGGACAAGTAAAAAGGGGTTGAGAGGTGAGCTTATGTTAAAAAAAATACTAGGCAAATGGTGAGTAGAAATGGTACAATACATGATGGAAATTTGGAAGCCACTGTGCACTAAAGATGTAGGTTTGTGCCCTGGAGCCAAGTTACCTCTAATATACCTTCAGAGCTGACATCCTGCTCTCTCCCAGTGTCAGGCTCCTGGCTGATGGAATGGGGTGAGAAGAGGAGAGGTTTCCGCCAGGCTGTCCTGCCACGAAGAACCTCACACCTGACCCTCTGCACTGTTCTCAGCCCACCAAGGCACCTTGCTGTGGTGGCCAGAGGATGGACACAGCCAGCCTGCCTGACTCTGAGTCCCCATATTGACTCTTCCCCATGTGTGACCTTAGGCAGATCAAGCTATCTTCTTTTCCTCAACTGACAAGTGGGAACTGTGATTTGTCTCATAGGGGACTGACTGTAGGGGACAAGTATGTGTGGATCTCTGTGTGTGCACACAGGTGTGCAATATGCCTGGTGTGTATGCTCGGTGGTTACAGATGTCCATTGCTCTTAATGTGTATCTATGCGGTGAGAAGCAAGTTTTCCCCACTGCTGCTGAGGGATCTCCACTGGCTCCTCAGCCCAATCCTCAGGCTCCTGTCTGTTGGGAAGCAGCATAGAATGCAACTGGGGTGACGGTGAAGAGGCCAGGGATAGAACACAGGTCTCCCAGCTCCAGCACAAGTTTCCTCCCTAGGTCAGCAACCCTCGCTATATGAAGCTGAGCTTCTCTGCAGAAGTTCCATGAGCTTCTCAAATGTCCCTGGGATGATTGTCTAATCCAGGTTTCAGTTGCCTCAGCTCACCCCCAACCATGGTGGCCTGGGTCACCTCCAGGGCCCCTGCCACCCTGCCTTTGAGCAGATCGGCAGATGTGCCATTCACACCCTGCAAAGCCCTCCCCTTCCCGGTATCTGTGTCCCTGAAGAGCCACTGCAGCCCTTTTCATCCTCCATCAGTCATCATCTGCCAGCCCTGCCTCCCAACCTGGTGTTATGAAAGCCACTCAAGAGGTAGTCACCCTCCCTGGACCATCAGTATTCCTCCCACAAAGAGACCCCTCTGTGTTCCCAGCACTTCCTAATGCTAATCAAAACCCTTCCAGATGCAGACTATCACTGCAGAGGGCACTGTGCTTCCCTGACCCCAGGAGCTGATAGATGCATCATCCCTCCCTTGGCCTTCCCCCCGGCACAACATCTGTGCTTCTCCTAGGCTCCAGCCAGGAGCTGTGTGTCTCTTGCCTGGACTCGGGGCAGCCAATCACAGCAGGCCAGGATGGCCCTCTCTCCTCTTTGGGAGTTGATCCCAGATCAGAGGCACCCCCACCCCTACTCCCTCCCCTTCTGGGTGTGTCGCCCGCTGTTTGAAGCTTAATCAGGTAAAGTGTACCTGGCTCCTGGTGCTGTGGCAGGGAAGCCAGGCAGAGGCCGCCGCAGGTGCTGCAGGGCAGGCAGGTTGCTCGGGAGGTCCTGCAGTCCCCTGAGAACCACTGGCTGGGATCAGCTGCGCTGGAGGAGCGAATCCCAGAGAAGCAACCGGTAACCGTGTGAACGTGGTGGCTGAGGGATGCGTCGGAGTTGGGTCCTGAAATAGAGAGAGGAGGGAGGCCAGAAATATTGTTTACTCAGGGCTCAATCACCCTCAGTGACTCTCCTACCCAAAGGGAAGGAGATAGCCCTGCCATCTCCGAGGGGAGAAGGGCAGATTAGCTGTGCTGCCAAGGCCATCGCCATCAGCCTGCGCTGTCCCTGAAGAGCCCACTGGCTTTGGTCTGATGCCTGTCAGTGTCCAGAGATTATAATGATTTTCTGGGTGGGAATCAGTGAGAGGAGGCTTTCTTGGGAAAGAGCAAAAACATAACGGGTTCAGGCAGGCGAGGGCCTAAACCAGGGCCGAACTTGTAAGTCTGAGCCAGCTCTGAGAGGTGCAGGGTAATGATTAGGGCCAAGGCCTCCTGGACACACTGCTTGGGCTCAGCTTAGCAGCTGTATGACTACAGCCCATCTGCTTATCTGGGTCTCTGTTCCAGTAACTGTTAAGTGGATTAATAACAGTATCTGTCTCATATAACTATTGTGAGAATCAGACAAGAGAAGCACTTGGACTAATAGTACGGGGCAAATACTCTCTCTACATATTCTCTGTCTCTCTATCTCTGTCTCTCTCCATTCCTACAGTACTGTGGATTGAACCCACAGCCTCATTCACAGGAGGCAAACATTCTTGTGCCTATTTTTGCTGTTCTTAAGTTTACTATTTACTGGAAGTATGATCTCCCCGAGTTCACTTTAGCTCTCAGAGTGCTAGTTTCTCCATCTATAAAAGGGGTACAAAGTTACTACCTGGAAGTGAACCTGAGGAGATTAAATAAGAGCTAGATGTCCAAGGAAGAGCCATCTCCTCTCCTTCCCAGTGATGCAACTCAAGATTCCACTCTGTTGGCTGGGGATTTAGCTCAGTGATATAAGCGCCTGCCTGGTGAGTGTGAGGTCGGTCGTGAGTTCGATTCCTGGTACCAAAAAAAAAAGATTCCACTCTGGTAAAGCCCACTGATGCCTGTGCTTTTCACCCTGCTCCTGGAGGAAGCAGCTGGCATGGATGAGTTTTGTATTTTCAGGCCTCTGACTTCTGCCTGGCTGCTCCACCACAGACATCAGGAATAGCAGATGTGGCTCGTGAGAGTGGCAGCTTTGCCATAACTATGTACGGGGTCCGTGACACTCACGTAGGACTGTAGGCCTGAAGATTGGCTCACTCCTCCACCAGAGCCTGAGTTTTGGACAGCTGAAAGCTATGGAGTGTGGTGCTGGACCCTGTCAGAGGCAGAGGTGTCTAGAGAGCCATTCTGCCTTTCCAGGAACTCCTTACTGTTTAAAAAAGCAAGATACAAACACGGCAAGGCAAGAAGACACTTTGATTAATGAGGGACCAACACACAAAAGCTTTAGGATTCAGAGAAGAAAGAAAGACTAGACAAAGGAGAAGGTTGCATGGACAGAGAGAGAGTCAAACAGTTCCAGGAGGAGGAGGACTGGGCTGGGGGGAAAGGTGCACAGCTGGTGCTCCTGGAGGGAGGGAGCTTGTGAAAGCAGGCTTTGAGGGGAAAAGGCGGGAGCTGATGAAGAACAGAGAATGCAGAGACAGGCCGGCTGATGTGGGGATGCGAGAAGGCAAACAGTCTGGGGATAAAGGGACCAGCAGCCCCCTGTGAACCTTATGTGTCAAGCAAGGAGATGTGGCCTGAAGGAAGGTAGTAACTGTCTGCAGGACAGTATTTTCAGAAGATGAATCTGGAGTGCGCACAGGGAGTTAATACGGGGCAAGTTCAGGGCAAGGAGTTAACCTGTACATGCACTGTGCCTGCTGCTCGTGGAGTAGCCTTAGGGCCCTGAGCTCCTTGATCTTGACCCAAGGATGTCAGTGCTATGGAAGAGAAAGAAGAGGCTTGCTTAGGGTCCTATGGCTGTAATCAGCGAAGCCTGATTCTAAGCCATATCCAGCTGTCTCCAAGGTGCAAGGAGATACAGAGATCACATGAGACAGGTGGGAAAATCCCAGAGACATCCTGGATGAGCAGGGAGCTTCAAGGACCTTGGCCGCCCCGTTCGAGGAACCTGGGTAGGGTGGGGTGGAGAAGGCAGGGACACAGACTAATCTGGCCACAGGTCTCAGCTCTTTTGCTTTCTGCTTCTATACATGGAGGGGGCTGAGGACATGGCAGGGACCTCTTGAGACTCAGATGACAGTCAGTGTGTGACGCATCACAAATGCTCAACATTGTTGCTTCTTGCTCTTCCCTTCCCTCCCTGTGGACAGGTGCCATGATCCCTTAAACTGTGTAGCATGTGATCACTTTCTACCCAGCAATTCTCTGTATCTATGACCAAAGCCAATAGACCTTTGAGTTTGGGGCAACCTCAGTGTTTTCTTCCGTGTATTCTGAAGGGCTTTTTTCCCCCCACAGAATACACATCACCTACATGGAGACTCCTTTTGTGGAGAAACGAGAGAATCCTTTAAGGTCTTCCTCCGTTCCTTGAGTTGTTTCGTGAGATACACCTGAGTATGTCTCTGTGCTTTAGGTCAGCCCTGGAGTCCAGATCAGGAGGCTAGGGCAGGAGATGGCCATGGTGATGGTGAGTAGCTCACAGAGCAGAGTCCCAGAGGACAACTGGGCAGCACCTGGGGTCAGCGTCACTAGTGCCAACATGCACCTCCCTGACTTCTCAGCCTGTAACCCCAGTTCCAAGACTGCCTGCTCTACACCAAGGGAGGTTCCAGTCCAGCTTGAATTTCTGGAGTCAAAGCTGATTTCTTCCCCAGAATTGCCTGGCCCTCTCTGAACATGCCTTCAGGGTGCCCATAGGATGCTTTTCCTTTCTCTTTGTCCTTCTTAAAAATAAGCATTGAATTCAAAAGTACTTGTGAGCACCTATCCTGTGCCAGTGGTGCTCAGAACAGGGATGAGAAAAATGTGCATCTGGACAGAGTAGGTAACAGCCCAGCGGGAGATCAGGCTCAGTCCTGAACCCCGCCCTCCCCACTCCATTCTGCGGTGCTCCCTCCCCGTCCACCAGGGCTGCTGGACTCCTTCAAAGATCTGCCTACTTGCTGAAATCCATGGTAAGGGGTAGTTCTCTTTGGTTGTCCACTGAGTCACACTCACACACTGCCAGGTGGTTTGGGGTCATGATTCCAGCTGGCTTGGCTTCTAAACCATGGCCGCTTCTTCCTCTTTGAGCAAAGAATAGGGCAAAGGAAGAGTAAGGTACGAATTGGACTTTCTGTCTCCTGAACCTCAGTTTTCCTCCTTCTTCCGGGCTGAGAAGCAGTTGCCCCCAGAGAGGACGATGATGATTAACTGGCCCCAAATTGTTCACAAGCTTCTCATGAATCCCCAGTCCAACCTTGAGAAAATTACTTTACCTCTCTGTATCTCAACTTTCTTGTCTATAAAACAGTAGTCACCTTGTCATGAAAATTAATGTCTATATGTTCGTGCACACACAGACAAGTGTGTCATTTACATTGGTGATGGGCATGGGAGAAGTCTTATGTGAGGGCTAGCTGTTCCCTGGTCCAGGCATGCTCCAAATCCTAAGCTCTTCTTGGTGCCAGCAGCAAGCAGGTCACTGTTTCTGAAGGTAAATGTAGCAGTTCTGCTGGTGATAAATGCGTAAAAGCATTTTCCTCAAAGCTCATTGCATACTTGTAGGAATATTACAGAAGTAGTCCCTACATTGTCTGCTATCACATGGAAAGAGGATCATACCTGGTGGTGGCTTCTACCTTTAAAATGACAATCACAAAGGTCAACAATGACAGCCCTTTGGTCTCTGTCTGAAACTCTGCAGTTCACAAAAAGATTTTGCTTACTCATTTGGTCATTGCCCCCAGCCCTGGACAGTACTGTCCACTCCTGCCAGCTCTAGAAAGTCAGGAGCAGGGCTGAGATGGGAGCACAGCAGGTTTCCCTTCCCCCATGTCGGGTGGGCAGTGTCCTTTCTTTGGCTTCCTTTTTACTCTCACCTCTCGGATAGGCCTGGGCTCTGCTGTGTATATAGTGATCGGCGCTTACTCAGGAGACCAACTGTCAGGGTATAAATCCTAACTCTGAATTGTACCAGCTGTGTGACCTTGTGCAAGATGCTTGACATTTCTGGACCTTGGTCTCCTTGTTTGCAAGCAGGGGAAAGTATCCGTCCTGACACTGAAGGGTTAGTGAGAATCCTGGGGTGCTTACTACAATATCTGGCATACAAGTGAACACAAGGTGTGTGTTCAGCGTGGCTACTGACATATAGCCCTTTGGTCCTGAGCAAGGAGGTGCTCTGAGGCTTTCTTCCCAGCACCCCGGAGGCTCACAGGTGGGGGCCTGGTATCCTTCTTGGGGAATGGAGGTAGCTGCCTCTGAGAACGTCTTCCTGTGACTTAGCATTGCAAATACCAGATTATAGTCATGGCATTAGGAAGGACCAAGCCACTCACCCAACTCTGGCTCTGGGAGATCTTGGATCTGATTCTTGTTTGTTTATACCAGGAATCAAATTTGGAACCTCACACTTGACAGACAGGTGCTGCGCTGCTGAGCTATATCCCCATTCCAAAATCCTGTAACAATCGTGAATCCTATAAAAAGCTAGAGACCTCTGTCTGCCCAAAAAGGTCCTCATGTATCAACCCAACCACCCTGGTAAACAACAACCAAGCTGTGTAACCCTGAGCAGTTCTTCAGCCTCTCTGAGCCTTAGTTTCCTCTTCTGTAAGACAGAAACAGTGATGCCCACGTCCTCTGAGTGAGAGGACTGCATGGGGTTAAGAAAACAGCACTAAACACAACAGCAGGCACCTGATCCACACCGGCCTTCCCTTCCGCACCTCCTTTCCCTTCTTAGAGATTCTCAGCAAGGTGACACTATTTGTGGGTATGGCTGGGTCACTCTGTGCCAAAGCTCTGTGTTTTTTGTTTTTTGGGGGAGGGTTTGTTTTTGTTTTGTTTTTTTGTTTTGTTTTGTTTTGTTTGGTACCCAGGATCGAA